ACACCGTCTCGATACATAATAATTGCAAACATTATTTTAATTTGTCATTTTTGAGTAAAAATTCTAAAAAAAAAACGATCACTCTTTTATTTATCAATGATTACTAAAAAACCTCTATAATAGAAGATATTTAAAGTGCTTAGACTTTTTAATTATGTTTTAGCTGTCGCGTTTTGTATTGTAGTTAAATTAGATCGATCCTTCAAACTTCAAGATAAAAATATATAATAATCACTGAAAAAGGTAGGCACAGTAATTATTCAACTCCTTCTCGCTTGTTTATTTGATTTATATAGACTGATCAATATTTTTGATTACCATTGTCCCTACCTTTTAAAGCTGAAATGACGCCACTGATTACGAACTAATATAAAACACATCTATCAAGYCTATACATAGACACTATATGATCTACAATCAATGTTAAATGTAATTTAATTGAAAAAAAATATTWCCCTATGATATACATTCTCTATATATTGGAGAAATGCCTATAGACTCAAGAGTATAGAGTATAGAACCTCCGAAATTACTTTATCCAGGCTGGATCTAGAACGTGGTCCATGTAGATGCATTATGAGATTGATATGAGATAGGAATAACTTTATTTGCAATTAAAATATTACACATACTTTTCTTTCACAATGCTTAAGTTTGATTTCATCTTTTGGTAAGGCAAAACGTTCTTGTCAAACACGCTCATCGTTGGTGCTTTTCTAACATTGGCCCTCAACATGGCATGCGGTTTGAAAAATACCGATTTCCAGAAGATAGATTGTATTCCATTGAAATGTTTGAAAAACGCCATAATTTCACTCTTAAATAAATATTAATCTATAGAGTTTTAAGTTTTCTGAATACTTTAAAGAAATTACGTTCAGAATATAATAATAATATAATGAAATATTTTTAGAAACTAACTAAATTGAAAACAATTTTAAGTATCTATGGTTACAAAAAATATTAAAATTTTGAGAATGTAAATATATGTTTTATAAACAAATAAAAGGCACAAGGAGTTTATATATAAAAATCTAAACTTATTTCAATTTATCAAAAAATTATACTCAACCTAACCGTAAAGATGTTAAAATGGGTCAAAAGAATACTATTGTCAGCTTATACAATAGAAACTTCACTGGACGAAATAATGCCAATCCAGCGACTCACGCCTTTGTCACGTCTCCTGAGTTAGTAACTGCTTTATCCATTGAAGGTCGTTCGGACATTGATCCAACAACTGAAGCAATAAAAGGGGCTGATGATTAGTTAAATAATATTAGTTATTGTCGGGATGACAAACTTTTGATATTATACTACTATTACTATAAGAATTGTAGTATTGCAAAATATAAAATTTGTTTTGTTCGTGAACAGTTTTCATTATCTCGAGTTAATATTTATAGACATAATGTTATCTATTTTTAAAGGTAAAGAATTTAAGTTGAGTTATCCATTTGGCGATGAACTACCACATAAGGGATTTGATCATGGTCAAGATACACAACAAGCTCCACCTAAAGTTGGATTATCTGTAAATGTGGAAGTAAATACCAAATCCAATTGCCTTCAACT